GTTTATGAGTAATATTTAGTATGATGTATTCATCCTTAAAGACTGTTTCTAATCACGGATATACTTTCTTATTCAACCTAATATTTTCCTCTACAAGAGTGCATCACTATTTCCACTTAAAGCTCGCAGCACAACCACTGCTTACATTTATGACGATCGGCCTCTTTTTTCAGCTGTCGAAGCAAAGATAAAATTGCTCCATATATAACCGTATTATTTGCAATATTTTCAAGGATTGATAAGCCCAGATTTTAGTATCATAAAAGTATAGTCCAGATTTTAGTATCATAAAAGTATAGTCCAGATTTTAGTATCATAAAAGTATAGTCCAGATTTTAGTATCATAAAAGTATAGATGAATGTTGTATTATGCACATCTTCCATGAGTTAAATAATGTTGTGTCCTAAAACACGGTGGCGTTCATTTGCGTGCAATATATTTTTGCTCGTGTTTAAGTTAGCCAAAACTATTGTCATGGTGTTCATCTTCTTAAATTATCCAAACATACGTGAGTGAATCAATGAATCTCTTCCATGGCTCAGTGCCTTTCGATAAAATGTGTATGTATCAATATATTCGACCACCTATACGTATGATAATTTCTGCCATCTTTTTACATACACGCACGCACATATATATGTTTGTGTTGTGTATGAATGTTCGTGTGTGCATTTGTGTGTGCATGTTCGTGTGTGCATGTGCGTGTGCATGGGCGTGTATGCATGTGTGTGTGCGTATTGTGATTGCGGCCCAATAATTCTCAGATCACTTTTTTAGATCAAAAGATCCTATCTGAAAAGGAATTGCTCGATTTTTGATAGACTCTAAGTGGATTGAAAAATATAATTTTCATTATAATTTCGGATCAGTAAGAAAGATTCGGGAATTCTGTTGCTCATAATGAAGAAAGGGGATTCGGAGAATTGAACATTCTCATGACATAGTAAAGTAAATCGAAGCAGAAGATAAAAGAGACCTCCTTAAAAAGATTTTTGCAAATGAATGCCATAACCGATACAGAGAACGATGTTATTGTTAGCCAGAAACATGATAATAAACGATGTAATGGGAAGCTTGATAGGTCACGTCAAGAAAGAACATGGAAAATAAAATAAGTATGATATAGAAATTACCAGGATGCTTTCTTTATTTTCGAAACTACTCAGCTCTACAATTCTTTTTGAACGATTGTTCCAAGCAGTGTATAGGGTGAATGGTTTTGTGATTTTACGTAATTATGATTTGTTTCATAATTTTCTTTCAAACCATCATGTCAGGCATAATGGAATTTAGTGCATGTCATGTTTATTCATTCATTTCTAAAAGGCTTACAGTGTTTGTCAACCAAAACAACATCAAAGCATCTTCAGAGCTGCTTCTGGAGGAGGCTGTCCTAACCACCTTAATGAACCTGATCACGTGTTTTTAATATTTCTTTGACAGAGTAGGCAGATGTTCACTTTATCCAACGCTTAAATTAATGGTTCTATTTTTTTGTAATCACGCATCACGCTGCAGCAAATATATATATGAAGAGTAGTTATATATATATATATATATATATATATTCACAAACACAAATTTAGATCATATATATATAAATTATTATTTTGCACTAATTGCCATATTGATATAGAGTAAATGATTTTTCATTATGCTGATGAGGGGATGGGCATAAATATATATATATATATATATATATATATATATATATATATCCACACACACAAATTTAGAGCATTTATATATAAATTAGTATTTTGGACTAATTACCATATTGAAATACAGTAAAAGATTTTCCACTATGCTGATGAGGAGATGTACACAAGTATACACATGTATATATATATATATATATATATATATATATATATATATATATATATATTCAATTTTTGCAGTGATTATTGGAAAGCAGTCAATATCAGTCATAGAACTAACATATGCAGTTGAATGGATAAGATTTCGTAACTCTAGGTTTATTTAGTTGAATTGATATGAGTGCGATACCCAAGATTAGAAACTCATATCCATTCAACTATATCCATATATACATTTATTTAAGTAAATGCTGTATTTATAAATAAAAAAATACTGTATTAATTACATATATCGGACTGAGTAACCGGGGAAGTTCGTAAAATATGTGTCCTACACGGAACCGTTATTTGGTCTGACGTGGTATACAATTTATCTACAGAGGAAGCGCCTTGTTTGCAAAGTCAATTTCCTGTTTAAAAAAAATGTCCACTCTCTTTCATATAAATGACATAACACGGCAGGTTAAATAGCGGTTCCGTGTATGCTGCAGCATCGGTTCCTGTCGTAGGAGATATATTTTCTACGAAATATTCCGGATATTCAGCGTGTCAGTGTAATTAGTACTGTTTATTACAACAGTGCATTTAAATAACTCTAGCTATAGAAATAAGGTATAAACAGAAAATATATTAGATTAATTGCCGATCTTAGTCCATTTCATAATATATGTTGTCATTTGTTTACGTTAAGATATGCTTCGAGAAAGAGAGAGAAAGCGAGAGAGAGAGAGAGAGAGGAAAAAGAAGGAAAAAACAAAAATAAAAACAAATTAATAAAAAAGAAATAAATAAAAAAGAAATAAATAAAAAAGAAATAAATAAAAAAGAAAGGAAGAAAGAAAGAAACAAGAGAGACAGAATAAAGAAAGAAGGAAAAAAGAAAGATATAGTCCATATTATAACTGATAAAACGTGATATGAATTCAAATAGATAAATGGAAGATATCAATATATGTTAAAATACAAAATAAATTTGCAAATAAGAAAACCGCAAACTCTTCTTCAATAAAACCTTACGCAGTCACAGGTTTGGGTTCTATATATTTATTGTCTCGACCAGATGCTTCATGTTCCTCTAGCCTATCACGTCCAAAAAGCATGAAACTACTTCTTGGTCTGCAATTCGACAACGTCACAGTAAAAATTGGATTAAAATAAGGAAATATCGAAGCCCAGATATGAATTGACTGTGAAAATCATTGCGCCATCCATTACAGTTTCAAATGTGTATATATGGGGGGTTAGAAAAATCAATTTGAAACATGGAAATTATCTTTTGGATAACATCTCTGCCAGTTTTTCGAACCCTGCAGGAAGTAGAATTATTAAACAGTGTTGTTTACGAAAGCCACGATGATTCCAACCGCTGGAAGCCAGTAAAACAATGCATTGTTTTCTCTATTACATTTCTGGAATTAATTGAATATATGTTCATTTGTAAAGAAATAGTTCATTAGTTATTCCGTCAGCGTTTTCACCACTCGCTTCAATCGAATCACACGGATATCCCGATTTCTTCGTACATGATTGGTCTCCTCGTGGCCTTGTACCTAATATTTACCATACACCTAATATTCGACTTTTCAGCTGTTCTGTAACGAATTTCATAGAACTGATGTGAGTAAATTTACGGATGGCCTTGACTTACTGTTTGAATTCATATGAAGTTATTACCTCATTACACTCACAATGTTTATTTTCTTGGCTAAGCCGGAAATGCTACTGTCAGATGTTTCTATGTCTTTGCAAACTTTGAACAGAGGGATATGGCTTCTTATAAGATGTTACAACGCTAATCGGTTATTGCCATGAGTATGGTGAGTACCTTTTCATTTCTTGTGTCACATTGAAAGCTGCCATCTTTGGTGTCCTTGATAACACGGAAAAGTATGAAAAAGTATTAAAACTGAGTACTCCATTTCTTATCCGCTAAATAGCACTCTACTCCCAAAAAATAACCAGCCATATATATATATATATATATATATATATATATATATATATATATATATATATATGTATGTATGTATGTATGTATGTATGTGTATGTGTGTGTATGTTTGTGTGTGAAACAGAGAGGTGGAATTTGACCATATCAACCATGGATGTGCGAAAGTACTCGATTTCAATTTAGCTGTGCACATAATTCAACTTTCCGAAATATTGATATTAACAGATATTATTTATGAATATTTCACCGCTTCTCCGATATCTCCAAAGTGCACCAAGTTAGAAAGGCGTATAATTTATCCACACAATAAGCGTTTTATATTCAAATAAATCCCATTCATACAAACAGCATAGCACACTAAAAATCACTTCCACACCATTAAGTTGTAATTTTAAAGATAAATCAAAATAATCAAAAGAGTTTTTTTTTTCTCGTGTAGATACGTTGCAATTCAAGTAATGTGGAAAATAAGTGAAAACGTTTGTAAATTAAAACACAAATACATTAGACACAACTATCCTTTCTTGAAATATGGCGTCTACGCGATGTATCATGGAATATACAGCTGCTGTAATACATTTGTTAACTGGGGACTAAACAACTACAAGGAAGGAAGTAGAAGTTTTAAGGTTAAATGTAGTTCTACAGAAGGATACTGAGAATACCATTGACGGAACATGTAAGCAACGACGAAGATCTAAAGAAAATGGAAAGAAAAAGACACTTGTACTTAGAATCATAATAATAAGACAATGGTTAAAGTGGGCTTAGAAAATCACAGGCCATATTAAATGGATGGAGAAAAGCAACACATAAACTGACTACAGACTTTGACATTATAGTTTACAGATCAGGGATCAGGAGTGCAAAAATATAAAATTTACAAAAGATCTACAAAGAAGAGGGGGAGTAGGAGGGGGAGAAGAAGAAACAGTTTGTTTGAATGACATAAATTTTGAGCAAGTATATGATACACTTTCCTGTGTCGTTCAGTGTTTACGCTCCTTATAACATATCGGTTGGACTGTTTTTAGATTGCTAAAATTACTTTGAAGTTAATAATAATTTGTTGATACATGTCCTATTAATTAACCCATAGCGGAAGGAAGAGGAGGTGGATTCTTACATTTTCCAAGGTCGTTTACGTGTTAAGAGAACACAACGAATCCGACTGGTATACGAATTCGGCTCTTGGCCATTATTCATTAATACACCCACACATTCAAGTTTACAGCACCAGATATTCTCAAGAGGTCACCCATTTAGGTACGAATCAAGTTCGATGTTGCTTAACTTCCGTGATCGTACGAGGATCGTTGTTTGAACGTGATTTGTTCGTAAGCTATTATCTGCCTGGAATACACAAATTCCTGGTATACAGGCCGAGAAAATCGAATATAATTCCCTCAAATGGTGTAAAATCATTCTTGCATGCAAAGGTTAAATTCATCGATGTGGCATTAGCTATTGTGAAGAATATCACGGATTTATTTTCATGAATTATTTTGTTCGGACAGTTGTCCTCATGCACAGATAGCCCAGTGGATAAAAGCTTGTGTTGGATCCAGTGATTTGACTCAAAGTGTTGTGAATTCAATACCTGGTTACTGTAGTCATGAACAAGAAATTGGAGAGTTCGGTTAAAGGGAGGTAACTGAGACAACAAGATGAGGCACGGCACGTGGAATTAGCACACTCTACCCTTGTGGACGAAATAAAAGGTTCGCTTCTATATTCCAATCATTTTAAAAAGCCCAGCGTGTACAGCGACCGAAACGTCATGAATATGACAAAACGTAAATTATGTAAATAATTGTACAACACAAAACGTAAATTATGTAAATAATTGAAATACTTCATCTCATAAATATAGACGAATATCTCGGAACTTGAAATGCTTATTCAGTCTTTCCAATGCTTGTTAGAACAACTGAACTCGTATTTGTGTGCTTTTATTCTTGACACAATCTTGTGATCGATACATTTGACACTCATATCAGTTTGTAAATACTATGACAAGGCGGTCATATGTTGTAAAAAGGGATAGCGAGCAGAAGGGTGGGCTAAACCGATTGGTCTATTGTCCTCAAATGTGCTTAATTCCGGTATTTACATTAGTCAGCATTCACTTTAACACAAGTATTTCTATAGTTTTATAGGCAGAGATATTTCCCAATGAAACAAAACACAATATATTGCTTTGAAATGCACAGTGAGCATTAAGAGAACGTGTCTCATGTGACACTGACTTTTTCTTGAGTTGTTTGTATTGTACCTGTTTTAATTGACAACATTCTCTTTCGTTTGTCTATTTTTTGGAAAAGGCTATCAATCTATCCGTACAGATTCCACAGCTGAATGAATACTGAAGTAACCTAAAACTGCTTTCAATAGTTTGAACAACTATTCAATGATGATGACTGAAACATTTTAAGAGAAATTATTCAGATAAACTTACAAATGTAGAGACAACAATACATTTGAAAATATATTATTCTTACAGAACGAAGGAATCAAATAAAATCATTATATTAAATTAGAGATTAATCATATATTTAAGGGTAGGACCTATTCCGATGTGTACTAAAGATTCTAGAAATTTTAAAGTACGCTAGCTCGGAACGATTGGAGATATTCAACATTAATGTGATTTGCAGTTTCAGAAGGGTAACAGCTTTCTTACTCAAAATGCTCTGTAAAATGTACAAATTCCTGTCCAGTATGATAACACACCCTGTTTGGCATTGCGATATGGTTAAACAACGCATGATACGTTCAGGACACACATCTACACATGTACAATATACCTAAAGATCATGGAACAATGTGTCGCAATCCATATACAATCTTTTGCATTTAAGATTATAGGCACGCGTTAAGGTTCAAAGGGGATATAAAGTTTATTCGTCAAGGGCCGTAGTTCCCAAAGATTTTTTTCCTGGGCCGCATTTTCGGAATTAAAATTTGCTCCCGTCTCAACAAGTTTTATTTGATAAAAAGTACAAGTTTGAGGGTGATAAACCTGAATTCGGAGTCAAAACACTATCATTAATAACTCTCTCCCCGAATTTGCAGAGCTTAGTTACTATATTCTTAAAAATGCAAAAATAACACGATGAAATCGGTCAATAAGTATTTATAACTATTTATACTGGAACTCATGCATGCAATTACATATAACCCATATTAATATGTTAAATTTTTTAAAATCATAATTATTTTTGGCATATATATTTTTGAAATTGTTTCTATATCTTTGATTGTCTTTCAATCATACCGCCTCATTTACTATCCTCTTACGCAGCACGTGGGGCGCGCACGGTTTGGGAGCCACTTATCTAGAGTGTGTGTACTCTTAATATACGCCTGATTTTGATACTTCTACTCATAATCATCAGTATGGGTTATCATTATCTATAATTGCCCTATATTAACGATACGTTTAATCTTGAGTAAATTGAAACGCGTAAGATTGCTGAAATTTCCAGTCAGATTCGGCTGGAATTGAAAAGTTTCAGTCCATACAATTTCCACAAAACTAATGAAAAATATAAACACTATGGCTTCTTTGTACTATCTCGAAATTTTCAGTAGCAGCCATTAGATTGATAAAGGAGAAAATAAAAAAAAATATGCAAAGATAGGGAGGGAAAAATAAGGAGAGAAAAGAGAAGGAAACAGTGCATGGATAAATTTAACATATTAGAATAGAGAGAAATAAAAATATATACAATGAATATATCATCTGAGAAACTTTGTAAGTTTTATGGCTCTATATGTTAAATTAATGCCTATATATATATGTACACGCACATATATGTGGTAATGGTAATATTAGCCGTCTCCCGACAAGGAAATATTTGCCATTCATTGACCCATCAGCCATTAATACTTTCACTTGAAATTTACTTCTTTCTCCGTCACCAGTGCACAATTTTTGTTGTATCTGGTATTTGGTACACTTCGTTGTTTGTGAATATGTAGCGAATTAAACATTAAGAAAGTTCCAATCAGACAATTCTATTTAAAGACATGTATCAAGTATTCAGGTTGATATTTTGCTTTTGTAAATCTCTGTGGTTTTAGGTAAAACTACATCTGGCGCAACCTATTCTATATTCAATTTCCTTTTCTCCTATACTAAACAGCTATAAGTTATCGATACGCCGAGGTATGTGAAGTGTTTAGTATTTACGAATACTACATTTCTACGCTAAATTGATTGTATGCGACATCTCTGCTTTCATTTAAAATCTAGATTATAGATTCTGTTTTGGATAGGTTTATCTTGAGTCCTATTTCATCGAACACTTAGTAGAGAATGTTGAATTTCTGTGCAAGGAATCTTACACAAATGCAGTGGACTCAGGAGCTAAAGATGAATCGTTGTCTTCTACAGGTAGATTTGTTTGGCATGTGGTATGGAATGGTTAAATGATCATCGCCCATATTTTTCACATCTTTGTAAATACACATGGCATAGTCCAGGAAAATATATCTATTCCCCCCTTTCGTACTCTTGTTGCGGTTTGAAATGTGTTCTTATTTGGGCCCTCCTCAAACATTTTATCGATCGATACGGTTCGTCTATTAGAACGATGTATTCAGTGGACATGGAGATTGGAAGCTAATTTCTAAACGATGAAAAGAAAAAAGTGTCTGCAATTGTGGCTATATGTTGCTGTGAGATCGGCAAAGCAAGTATGCAGTTTCCTATTAGAGAGGTAAGAAATTTCTTGCAGTGGATTGATGACATATACGCCATCATTGCATCCATTGTCAGAATGTAAACCAAATTGGGTCGTGAGGAATTGTTTTTAATAAAATGACAACAATGATAGTAAACATTTCAGCAATGATGAATAAAATAGAGACACTTCTGTCTGTGTGAGCGCATTGAGGGCTACTTTTCTGTTTCCATAATGCATTCTTTTTCTTTTTATGTGCAATGTTCTTTCAGAATGTAGGCGATCATGGCTCTCCACGTCCCTCTCTCCCTTGCAGCTCTAAACAAGCTCCTTCGCTCTGCTTCATCCCCCATACCACGATCTCTCCTCCACCTGCTCAAGCCCATCAAGTATGTCACGCGCTGATTTCCCTTGTCTCTGTTTCCCTATATTTCTCTCCTTGAGTTTCAGATTCTCTAGGACCAACTTCCTTATTATGAGTCCCAGGATCTTCTGTTACTCTTCCCGATATTAAGTTGAAGCCTCCTCCTTGTTTGCGCCCTCTCTAAAACTTCATCGTTGCTCACACGCTCGGTTCATGATATCCTTAGCATCCTTCTGTAGAACCACATTTTCGTTGCCACGAGAATATTCTTCATCTTTGAGGAAATCGCCCTACATTCGCTGCCGTAAAGAAGGACAGATGTCACGTAACAGCTCAGTATTCATTTCTTTGTTACCGAAGAAATCCTCCAGTTTCGCAATACTCTACTCAGCTTTTGGAATGTGTCCTTGACCATCTCAATAAGTCTACGGATCTCAGTGTCTCTGCCAAGACGCTTCCTAGATATTTAAAATTCTCCGTCTGCTTGATTCTAGTGTTCCCAATCTGCAAATCGCATTTAGAGCTCTTCTTCTAACAGATGGTCATCTTCTGTCTTTTTGTAGTTTATGCTTAGTCTTTTCTTCTCAATCTTCATCGCTACCTTTTCTAGGAGATTTTATAATGCCACTTCCATGTCTGCTATCTGTACTGTGTCGTCTGCGTATCTTAGGTTGTTAAAGTTGTGGCCGCCAATGATAAATCCCAGTAGGGTTTCCTCTTCTCCTTTCGGTTTGACACTTGAACTTCGCAGGTTTTCAGATCAATGTTAAGACGTGTTAAGTTGTCTTTCTGTTTATCTCTGCTACGTAAGATTGAAAGTCCAACTGAACTGAACATTGGTAGTTGTCCATACAGCACCATCTTTGAAAGTCTATGCTCATCCATTCTCACAACATGACCAGCCCACCTAAGTTGTATCTTTAAGATATACTGACTTGTAAAGGTCGCTGCTGTTGTAAGACAATATATTCTACTTATTATTTTAACAGTTCTTGCTCAGCTTATACAAAGGGCATTTTACAGCTTAGTGTTGAAGCTTGGATAAGCATGGAATAATAATAATACAACACAAAATGTACGTAAACAAAATGTATTGAAACAAGGAAAAGGTACACAATATTTACAGTTAGTTTTGGTATATTCTTGGGAAGACTGTTCCTGTAGAATGGGTTGACTTAATCGCAGTCGGGCAGAGTCTCTGGATTGGATCTCTTGTTACTTTCCCCGTGTTCCCGGTACCAACCCATATTTATATGGTCGGTACTCCAC